AAGACAAATATACAAACGCTAGATAAACTAAACGGCACCAGCACATTTTTGCCAAAAAGTCATTGACCGCATCAGATGGTATCCACTTAGTTCATCTCCTATTACAGGAAACGACAAACGTTTCACTAGGAGAAGAAAGTAAATCTAGGCAAAAAAGCATGTAAGACTTCGAGTACTTTCTGTACATTTGTACAATTTCGAAAAATGATTAACGAGATTAATTAAGGTCACTCAACAACTGGCCGTATCCGAAACTAATCTGTTCGTAGGTTTTTTGACGCGAGCTAAAGCGATATGTAATTAAGGTATTTTGGCAAGTACGAAGTCAAGTCGAAAAAAAGTTCGTCAAACAAGTTGACTTCCAAGTTTCCACGCCAATGGCATTGTTTATTGTGTATTACAGTAATTGGTATTCCCATTCTACGTTTCATTTATTATTAAAACCCTTGTTACAAATACAAAATAGTCTTGATTTAGAGAGTTACATTACTCTTTGTTTAAAATCACTAACAGAAGTTCCAAATACTTCCTAGACTGCCACGCAAAATTAACCGGACAAACAAAATTTTGTTCAAATTGAATTTGAAATACGAGGCACGTCCAGAAAGTAAGTGTACTGGTATTCTGACAGCTGTAGAGAATACTTTTTCGACATGTTGGCAACACTGCCGCGTAGCCTGACCCCTCCCCTTCAAAAAGAGACCAATCTGAGGTTAGTGTGTTGGAAACTCTTGACGCAGTAACATCTCTCGCGAAAAATGTCGATCGTATCTCCCGCCAAGTGCGAAATTCGCGCCGTCATTCGCTACCTCGTTGTGAAGGAAAAAGCTCCGGTGAGACGCTAAAAAAATTGAAAAGGGCGATTCAGAATAAAAGGAGGGGCATGCTGACGAAGGGAGTCTGCCTGTTGCACGACAATGCCAGACCCCACACGGCCAACGCCACGAAGCAACTCCTGGACTCTTTTGGATGGGACGTTCTGAATCACCCCCCGTATTCCCCTGACCTGGCTCCTTCAGATTTCCATCTCTTCACTTCCCTAAAGGGGCACATGGGTGGAAACAAGTTTTCAACGGACGAGGAGGTTAAGGGGGAGGTGGAGAAGTGGGCGAAAGAGCTGGCGGGAGACTTCTTCGAGGCCGGCATCAAAAAATTGATCCCGAGGCTCACCACTTGCATCGAGAGGGATGGTGACTATGTCGAAAAATAACTTACATATGTACAAGTGTAACCAAGTATATTATGGTTTTAATAAATTTTTTTTGAACCCTACATAAATTGAGTACACTTACTTTCTGGACGTGCCTCGTAACTTTTTAACCTTTGCATCAATTTCGTGAATGTTTTCATCAGGTTATAGGTTCAATGTTATCATTATCGACCGCAAAAAAAATTGAAAATGTTTGTCTTTATACAGGGTGTAACTAAAAGGTGCATTTTGTCCTAAATTTCTGATCACCCCGTGGAAACATTGGATTTCTGAATAATGTGTCTTCGTATGAGAATTTTAAACCTCAACTTTTCTTAACAGTTCGTTTTTTGATTCATGTCAATATCTCAATTATTGAAGAATATATGCTGTTTTGAAGAAAATCATGCGAATCATAGCCATAAATAATAAACTGTTTCAAGCAAAACAGCATACAGTGGACCTCCGGTAATCCGACAAACATTATGCAGGGCAGTGTCGGACTATCGAATTTGTCGGATTATAGAACACTGCCTAAGACCCCCTATAGTCCGGAATTTTTTACAAAAGAGTACCTTGTAATCCGACAAATTAGATATCCAATGGTAAGATTATATATGTTATGTAGGGGAGTAGTGGCATGAAAGAGCCAGTTTTATAGACGTAGCCAAAAAATATACTTTTAATGAATGAAATGATTATTTTTTTAGTCAAACTATTATTTATTTATTAAAGTATATATTTCATACAAAAAAATCTAAAATACGGTATATAAAACCAATGAAATATACGTTTTTTAAAAATGTGTCATTTGGCTCTTTGATAACATTTCGGCATTGAAAGAGCCACTAAAAGTAATGAAAGGGCCAGCTTGTATTATAACTTGAAATTGTGAAAATTATACAAACTAATAAAACTATTAAAAACTATTAAAAAACAAACGAAAAGACAATTCTAACAAATTCTTTCTAAAAACTAATGATATTTTATAATAAATATAAACTTAACATATTAGAGGCGGATTATTTTTTATCAATAACAGTGTTGAAATTAAATAAAACAACAAATAATATCTTTTATCAAAAAGAAAATCGTTAAATCTATCAGAACAGAATATAATGCGTATTCTTCAAATTAGAAACATGTCTTGCAAAAGAAATTAAGGTTCCCCTTAATACCACAGCATTCATGAGCCCAACCAGAACAAATTTTGCACTGAAACCAATCTTGATCACTGTCTTTATATGTTTTGCTGCAAACTACACAATCATCACTATTGTTATTTGCCTTTGGGTTTATTTTGCTTCGAACACCCTTTGTTTTTAATTCAGCCAATACGATAGAGTCAGACGAATCAGAGTCATCTTGCAGAACGGAATTTTCTTTATTTATTTCTGATTTTGTTTTAAGCGTTTTTATGGAGTCTTTTGTAGTCATTTTCTTAAAAGTAACTTTTGGTTTCTTTGCACTATACTCTTTCTCCTCTATTTTTTTCCTTTCGGGAGAGTCGGTTACGATAGCAGATGACATTTTTCTATTATTTCGTTTCGTGTTTTGTCTTGGCCCCGCTTTAGAAAATGGTCTTATCATCTCCGGTGATATAATTCGTTGACTCGGATTTGCAGCCGGGGGGGTGGAGGTTGAACGGTGAGAGAGTCTGATATTCTGATCTATTAGAAGCTCATTTTCTTCGCCAGCTTCAAGCGATTTTGTAGAAGATGGAGGTGTTGTTTCTAAGTTTCTTTCCATACTTTCCTTATACAAGTTCAAACCATCGTTTGACTGCGGATCAGGTCTATCAGTCACATACGAAGATAAAAATGCTTCTTCACTAAATATATTAGAATTTAATGGATAAATTCCTGTTTTCAAAAATCCTTGTGTTATATTCTGTGGACTGAAAGCTGACAAATATGCTTCTTTTACAAATTGCCCAATTTGATAAATAGTAACTGTTTTTCCAGGGTTCGTCAACATCCATTCATTCATGGCAGTGCGGTACCTAGTTTTGAAAGGCCCATATACTGTGATATCTAGTGGTTGCAGTTTATGACTGCAGTGTGGTGGGAATGTAACTATTATGATGGAGTTTTGTCTGGCAAATTCAACCACTCTGAGATTTACATGAGAGGTGTGATTATCCATTAATATCAATGCTGGATTCTCTTTTGATGGCCTGACATGTATTACAAAGTGTTCAAGCGCTTTCACAAAACAGTCTTCAGTCATCCATCCAGAAACTTGAGCCAATCCTAGGGCTCCTGGCGGACCATTATTTAACATAATATCTTTATAGTTTACTCTAGGAAACACAAAAACGGGCGGCAAAAAACCACCAGCAGCATTAATAAAGAACAGAGTTGTCACCAATGTTCCTCGTTCGGCTGAGGTAACTTGCCCAATTTGTTTCGAACCCCTTTCAGCTATGACCTTAGGAGGATTGGTGACGGTGCTGCAGCCTGTTTCATCGGCGTTAAAAATCCTATGAGGAGGAAATTTGTATCTTTGTAAAACAGTGTTTAATTTCTCAAAAAATGTGCTTACATTAGCTTTATTAAAACTTGTTGCACGGGATAGAGAAGTGCTTTCAGGTTTTCTCACAGTTAAGTCTTTGTGTCTGCTCATAAACCCTTTGAGCCAATCATCAGTCGCAGTTTCAACTTCTTTCCATTTGGGTGGACAGATATCATTGGCTACGGCATAAACAAATCCTAACTTCTTTGCTTGATGTCTTGTTAGGCCATGGCACATTTTAGATGCGGTCTTTAAATAATCTGCAAGCATATTCTCTTGTTCTGTTGTGAAAATACGCCTGTTCCCTATATTAGGACAGTGTTCATATGATGAATCGCCAGACGTCTTTACTTTTTTAACGATTTTAGCTAAGTAAGCCCTCGATATGTTTACGGCAAGTGCAGTTCTGTTTATGGGCTGACCTTTCTCCAAAACTTCACTGACTGCTTCTTCAATTACCGATTTTTCGGGTCTTTTTCGTTTTTTTGAGCCAGCCTTCTCCATAATGCAGTATCTGAAGCAAATAATTTAATAATATATAAAAATGCATATTTATTATTATAATAATTTATTACTAAAACTTAAATATAGGGTTATAAAAGAGCCGGTTATGAAAGAGCCAGCTCTTTTAAGGCCTATGCACCCGGCTCTTTCATAACTTATTGGTAAAAAATATATAATCTTCAAAATAACAGCAATATAAAGCTTTTTGCCGCTTAGTGTTTACGCAGTTCCAAGGCCAATTATATGCACAAACTGAATCTACAATCCACATACTTATATTTGTTTACAATAAAATGCCAGAAAACTACTTAGATAGAGCAAAATACTTACTTTTGGATGCCAAAAATTTTGACTCGATGAACCGCCGCCTGTTATCACTAGCCAACTGTCAAATGTTTGTGGGTGGCGGGAAATCAGTGCTGCCACCTTAAAATAAGATCACCCACCAAATTCGTTCCTAAACCACCGAAATAATGCAAGTGGCTCTTTCAAAACCTGGCTCTTTCATGCCACTTCTCCCCTATATGTATGTACTTTGAAGTACAAATCATACATAGTTCATGAATTTAGTAAATTAAATAACAATAGAGAGCTTACATTTTATTATAAAATTAAGCATAAATGCACATACATATGTGTATATATATATATATATATAGGGTGGCCAAACACGTGACGTCATAAAAAAAAATTAGATTCCCCACATCGAGAGGAACCCAAATCACCCCCATATATATGGTCCGATTTTGTTTAGTTTAGGAGTCATGTAACTAATACTACTTTTTAATTTTTGTCAAAATCTTCGAACATAACAAAAAAGTAAAAAAGTGCAACAACGTTGAACGTTTATAAAAAAATTGAAAAAACATGTTCTTACTATTCGTAAGTATCTTAAAAACTTCCTTACGGTATCAGCTATTTGCCGTAAAAATTTCATCAACCTAGCTTTACTACATGCTACCGTAATTGTGGCTCAAATAGAACCGAACCCAAAATTGGATAACCCTCTGCTCAATAGAAATTGTTAGTTTCGGAAAAAAAATTTGCAAAAACCACAAAAACACGTTTGATTTTTACTGAACAGCAGATTATTATTCATTTATGTTATTTACAAGAGGTTTTCAAAATGTCTGCCTCTAATAGAAATGCACAGTGTACACCTACGTATGAAATTTTGTTTTAAATCTCTAAATGCTTGTGTGTTGTTTTTCAACACATGTGTCGCTTCTTGAATTTTGTTCCTCAATGAATTTTCATTTGCACATTCTTGGGCGAATGTTATGTCTTTAAAATATCCCCAAACAAACAAAAAAAACCAATGGGTTTGAGGTCAGGGGAGCGTCGAGGCCATCGTATCGGTCCGTTTCGTCCGATCCATCTGTCTGGGAACCTTTCGTTTAAGTAGTTTCGCACGATCGTTGCGTTGTGGCATGGTGCACCATCATTCTGGAACACCATGTTCCGTCTGGCTTCCAGGCTTGAATCTTCCAGCAATAATGGTAGGCTATTTTCAAGGAAGCTTTTGTAGGCTACCGAATCCAACCTTGACGGCAGTTCAAATGGACCGATAAATTCCATATTGAATATTCCTGACCACATGTTCACACTAAAACGGTGTTGAAATGTCGACGGCCTTGACTGGTGGGGGTTTTCAACAGCCCAAGTATGTAAATTATGGATATTGAATATCCCTGTTCTTTCAAAACGTGACTCGTCAGTCCATAAAATTTTATCAAAAAAATCGGGATCCTCTCGTTGTCTTCGCAGCATTGTCTCGCAGAAATCCACTCTTAACTGGTAATCTGAAGGCATCAACGCTTGAACTCTTTGAACATGATAGGCATGATAACCTTCTTCATGAAGAATATTTTGTATCGATGTTCGTGGTATTCTAAGGTTTTGTGCCATAGATCTCGTACTCGTTGAGAAATTAGCCGGAATCGTGCGAAACTACTTAAACGAAAGGCTCCCAGACAGATGGATCGGACGAAACGGACCGATACGATGGCCTCCACGCTCCCCTGACCTCAACCCCATTGATTTTTTTGTTTGGGGATATTTTAAAGACATAACATTCGCCCAAGGATGTGCAAATGAAAATTCATTGAGGAACAAAATTCAAGAAGCGACACATGTGTTGAAAAACAACACACAAGCATTTAGAGATTTAAAACAAAATTTCATACGTAGGTGTACACTGTGCATTTCTGTTAGAGGCAGACATTTTGAAAACCTCTTGTAAATAACATAAATGAATAATAATCTGCTGTTCAGTAAAAATCAAACGTGTTTTTGTGGTTTTTGCAAATTTTTTTTCCGAAACTAACAATTTCTATTGAGTAGAGGGTTATCCAATTTTGGGTTCGGTTCTATTTGAGCCACAATTACGGTAGCATGTAGTAAAGCTAGGTTGATGAAATTTTTACGGTAAATAGCTGATACCGTAAGGAAGTTTTTAAGATACTTACGAATAGTAAGAACATGTTTTTTCAATTTTTTTATAAACGTTCAACGTTGTTGCACTTTTTTACTTTTTTGTTATGTTCGAAGATTTTGAAAAAAATTAAAAAGTAGTATTAGTTACATGACTTGAATGATTATATGATAGTTAAGCCTTAGGTCTTAGCTACATAATCGTGAAAAAAGCAGGCATTTATCACAATTATTAACGAAGTTATGGTAAAAATAAACACAGAACTCAAAAATTCTCGAAAAATCCGAAAAAAAATCATAACTCCTAAACTAAACAAAATCGGACCATATATATGGGGGTGATTTGGGTTCCTCTCGATGTGGGGAATCTAATTTTTTTTTTTATGACGTCACGTGTTTGGCCACCCTGTATATATATGAATTTATCAAATTATGAAGCTTGGAAATATTCATAAATAATTTTTTGTTTAAGGTTGCTATAACGCGAGATCAGAGCTTTGTCTCTCAGTCTTCTCAAAAGTAAAAGTTCGTTGTAGGATGTACCATTCTCTTCAGCCCATTGTAAACCTAGCTCAAACGCGTTAATTGCGTCTTGTGCTGTGACTTGTGGAGCAGTTGCAATCACGTCGTCGTTATTTTCCTGATTGTTTGTTGTATAATTAGAAACCTCTTTTATAATCTCTTCGTCAGACATTTCATGAAAAACATTTTCCTCTTTATCCATTCCGCGGCACCAGATTTCCAAATCTTCCGGACTTATCTGTGTTTCAGTAGCGACTTGTTCTATAACTATAAGTTTTTTCTATTGGTTGGTCCTTTGATACGGCTCTCAGAAATAGGTTTTTCTTATAGTCTTGCTTGACAAACTGAATGATATTCTGGTCCATTGGTTGAATCAGTGCAGTGCAATTTGGCGGAAGAAACATCGCAGTGATGCATTTATCCTCAATTAGTTCTTCTTCAGACGGATGACCGGGAGCGTTATCAAGAAGCTACAACGCTTTTTGAGGAAAATTACGATGTTTTAACCATTTTCTAACTTCAGGTACGAAGCATTCATCAAACCACTTTTTGAAAAGGTCTTTTGTCATCCATGCACTTTTTTGTCCGTAATAGTGTACAGGTTAATCAATGTTTTTGAATGCCCGTGGTTTATTAGATTTCCCAATGACCATCATCTTAAGCGCGTGTATGCCCGCAGCGTTAGCACATGGTAGTATGGTTACACGCTCTTTACTCACTTTTCGTCCAGGTACGGATTTTTCGTTACAAGAAACGATAGTTTTGTTAGGCATCACACGCCAAAAAAGCCCTGATTTGTCTGCATTGTACACCTGTGACGGGTCAAGATTTAACTCGTTCACCTTCTGCAAAAATCTTAATTTAAAGGGCTCTATGCAGGTGGCATCATTAGAAAGTTTCTGTCCTGTAATAATCATTAAACATATGCTATGACGACTTTTAAAACGTTCTAGCGATCCTTTGCTGGCCACAAAATCATCTTTTTTTGTTATTTCCTAATAAAAAGACTTAGCTTTCATGGCCAACATGGGTCCTGAAATTGGTGCATGCCTATTTCTTTCCTGAAGAAACCATATGTACAAAGCTTCTTCCACTTCTGGATGTTCAGCTTTCTTGAGTGTCTGTCTCTTGCCTGGCCCGCAGTCAGTAGTTGACACGTACATCTTGATCTTCTCGTGGTTCCTTTTAATGTCATAAATTGTAGATCGGCCTCGCCGTATTCACTTGCTAAACTACTGAAAGTTTCATTGCGATTTAAGCGGTCTAAAATATCACATTTTTCATTAATTGTCAATGTTTTGTGCTTTCGCTTCTGAGTTTGTGATGACATTACTAGGTACTATACTTGATACACAATGAATAAATAGTAAACAATTAACGCACGCTAGGCCGTACCGCTATCACCAGTAGTCAAATTCAAACTAAGTAAAACAATGCTTACGCGTCGAGCACGATAGCGGTGGCGCGTACAACCTGCGTGATCAACATTATCGAAGATTGTCAAATACGTATGTATGTATGTATATTCTTCAATAATTGAGACATTGACATCAGTCAAAAAAAGAACTGTTGAGAAAAGTCGAGGCTTAAAATTCTCATACGATTCAGTAATCCGATGTTTCCGCAGGGTGTTTAGGAAATTTAGGGCAAAATGCGCCTTTTAGTTACGCCCTGTCGACAATGATGATAATAAAATTACAACTTGACGAAAAAATTGACGAAATTGATGCAAAGGTTAAAAAGTTATTTGCAATTCTGTTTGTGCGGTTAATTTTGCGTGGCAGTATAGATACATATCTATTACCTCTAAGAAGACGAGATATGGGTTAAACCTGTAAGAAGACGAGATATGGGTTAGTTTAAACCATAATTTTGTTTGATAATAGGTGACAAAGAAAGTATTAGGATGTTGCGGTCTTCTATCATTCACAGTAAGTGAAATTTTTTCTAACAGTTGAGGACAATCAATGTGACCATTGATAATTTTGTGCAAGCAATGAATGAATTATGAAATTAGAGGTATACCGGCCACCATGGGGTGCCAAAGCATAGGCCACTTAGACATGCACCCCTTCATTCCCTGAACCTCAAGCCCCGCCCTTCTTACAAAGTTGAATATAGCCTTGAGTCCTCAATCTGTACAAGGCCCAGATAAGACGAAGCCTCAAGTATTCCTCACATATTTGGGGAGCTGCCCCAACCAGGTTATCCATGCTTGATGCTGTTAAAAGGAAGACTGTTCGACTGATCGATGACTTTTTTCTAACGGACAGCCTCGGTACCCTTTCATACCGGCGGGCCGTCGGCGATCTAGCTCTCTTCTACCGCTACGCCAATGGGCTTTGCTCCTCAGAGCCCTCCGCCATGATGCCATCGCGTAATGTGTCTGCCAAACAGACCCGCCTGACTTTGGCCTCCTATTCTAACCGTGTCGAACTTCGTACATCAAGATCTGGCAGACACGACCGCTCCTTTGTCATTATTGTATCGAGATTGAAGAATCTTATTCCACTGCTACTAACCTTAGGCAGTTCAAAAATCGGATTAACAAGCAGACGCGCTGCCCTGGCATTTAGGCATCTGCCTGCGCAGCTGCTTCGGTGTTAGAAAACAATAACAATAAATACAAACAATCACATACAATAAAACAACAATAACAAACACAAGATAAATAATAACAATAAAGGAAAACAAAAAGCAGTAGCTCTAAATTATGAAAAGTCAAAGAATGAATAATAGTATTAATAAACAATAAAGTATCCAATTTTACCTCAAAGGTAATAAAAAATGAAGCTGTCATCTAATATGTTCACACCAATTGCTGAAAGCTACCTTAGAGGCTCCGACTACTCCCGAAGGCTCGCGAGCTTGCGACCAAACTTTCCGCGATCTCAGTTGGCTGGGTTTAAAAATAACCACCAATATGTCACTCGGCTCTGATAGTGCCTTATATGCCGTTAGGCTGATGTTCAGTTGTCACTT